TCTATATTTAAGTCGATAAATAAATCGAGGAGTGATTTACGGTTCCATTGTGTGTAATATGATGAAGAATGTATGTAGTTAAATTTATAAATATATGTCTCTTCATATGTTAGATGGCTCTTATCCTGATTGTTGCTTTACCGCTTTCTTTTATTTTTATTTATTTAAAGAGAATGCCAAATCAACAAATGGCCAAAATGGAGAGAATACGAGTTTTGCTACATAATTGAGATGTTGAGAATGAATTATGTTAAGGGATAAAATTTCACGTCAAATAAAGATAAACACAGCCAACTTATAGAGGTTTGTGTTTATTCTCTTAATAAGGTTGGTCTTTTAAGATGAAATCTCGAGTATTAACAAATTATGCTAAAAAGGTTGAGCATAGATATATTACATTTCACAAAAGTTACTTGTCAGTAGGATTACGATAGCAACAGTAATTCTTGTAGAACAATCAAGTAACTAACAGCTCGTTTGAGCCCTATTTTCTCGCTAAAATGCGTTTTTGAATAATGATTTGAGGGAGAATGTGTTGTTAAAAATAAGAGAGAAAAATGTATTTTAAAAATAATGAGGATCAAACAAGTGCTAAGTCTCTAGAGCTCTTGATTTTTTATCATCCCTAGCCGTAATAATAGAGTAGTCGTCCAAGCTATTATATGTTGATCTTTATTTTCAACTTTATTCGAAGTGATGTTTATCTATTAATACCCTAATGTAAGAAAGCTTAAATTTCTTGATTTTAGGGTCAAGATTCATGTATCACTACTATGCTAGCTGTTTGTTTTCTTAATTTATTACGCTGTAATGGAGCCTCTTGCACTTGATTTTATCAACATGTTTGGCTATATTTAAAAGTAATTTACTTGGTTGCACGTAGAGAAATGAATAGTGCATAGTACTGGTTTTTACGGTTTGAAAGCTTGATTTCTCAAGGGCGTCGAATTGTGGAAGAAACTTGCCTAATTAGTTGGTTCATATACAATATCCATGTCTTAATTCATTCTTGACTACCTCATGATAGCAGTGCACTAAGTGCATTTTAATGGGAAATTGAAATATGATTTTTTAACCGAGAATGCGGTATATTTGAATTTTTTTTATAAAATGATGTAAATATTAAAGAATAATTTTTAATGAAAAAGGGGTATTTTTATATATAAAAAAAAATTGTAAAAT